ATGTCACTTTACTCCATTCTGGGAAACAGAGGGAGACTCTGTCTAAAAATAAAATCTACCAGAAAAACACTATAGCTGAAAGCCATCTATTTAATAATCCTTAGAATTTTTGTCACAAATTATTGGAAACAAGATCTGTTGTTTCCATGATCAAAAATTTCTCCACCAATATCTAATTTTGTGGTGCTTTTGTGAGTCCTCCAAGATCATCATGGTTCAATGACCACATTAATACTCAAAGCCATTTTCAGAAATCAATGGACGATGAGTGTATTTATCTATTTCTAGAGTGTCTATTTTATTTTTTATTCTATTTGTCTACCCTTGAGGAATACCACACAATTAATAAGTAAGACTTTGTGAGCCATCAAGTCTGATAGTGTAAGCTCTTTACCTTTCCCTTTCTTTTTGAAATAAGAAGCTATTCTCGGTCTGTTGCATTTTCATATAAATTTTTGGAATCAGCTTATTACTCCTATTATGGTAGATTTGATTTAAAAACTTCACCTTTTAATATGCTTTAATGGTTCTCCTTGACATCAATCTCTATCTTCAGAAAGTGCGTCTTTTTTTTTTTTTTTTTTTTTTGAGACAGAGTCTTGCTCTGTGGCCACACTGGATTGCAATGGCGCAATTTTGACTCACTGCAACCTCCAACTCCCTGGTTCAAGTGATTCTCCTGTCTCAGCCTCCCAAGTAGCCGGGATTACAGGCACGTGCCACCACATCCAACTAATTTTTTTGTATTTTTAGTAGAGATGGCTTTTCAACCATGTTGGCCAGGATGGTCTCGATCTCCTAACCTCATTATCCGCCTGCCTTGGCATCCCAAAGTGCTGGGATTACAAGCATGAGCCACCGCGCCTGTCCAGAAAATGCATCTCATACATACCTTTACTACGTGATTTAGAAGTTTTCATGATTCCCTGGTGCTTACAGGATATGTTCTCATATTGTTCATGGTATTCATTTTCTTTGCAACTGTGTTATGACTATGCTCCAACTCATTTTTCCAACTCCATGTGGGCATAACACTCCATGACAGCGAAATGTTTCCTTTTCTCTTATTTGGGACTTGCTTTTTACACTCCCCTCTTTTAGCTTACAGATAACTTCTCTGGCTTAGTAAGCCTTTCATTCCCTTTCTACCTGTGTGGATTCCTCCCAATTTTAAGGCTCTGTATCTGTTCTACAGCCTTTGTGAAGTATTCCTTAATCACCCCAAAATTCAATAACCATTTATCTTTTACATTTCTACAGTATTTTTATTTATAACACTTATTTGAATATATCATGTGTTTACTTCTATTTTTACTTTTCCTTTAATATGCACATATTCCATCTGTACAATGAGTTCACATCCCTTTCAGGGTGGGGACCACATATTAAGCATCGTCCTGTGTCCCCACTGTTTCTATCACAATGTTTAGTTTTATTTGCCACTGTTTTCCCAGAGTCTTGCACTGAGTGGAGGATATAGTAGATGCTTAACAATAATTGATTGAATGAAGACTGAGACTGTGCTCAATAAATGTTTGCTGAGGTGTAATTGAAGGAAAAAATAATGAGCTGTCAGATGAAATAGGTTCCAATCTTGTCTCTGTTACTTGCTAGCTAGGTTTAGTCAAACTATTTTATTTCTATCATCCTCAGTTTCCTCACCCTTTAAATGAAGATAGTAGTGACTAACCCCCGGTATAGAATCACATGAACAAATTCTCATTAAAGTGCTTTAAAACAACGCATGCTTAACACATGTGTATGCCTTTTTCATATTATAAAAATCTTCATTATAGAAAATTTGGAAAAAAGTAAAATTCAGAGAAGAAAATAGAAATCATTTATAATACCATACACAAAGGGATTAACTATTATGATTTCAGTATATTTCCCTTAAAATGTTTTTCTGTGCATGTATTTTAAAATTGATATATGCATAGTGGTTTTAAAGTTTTGAAAATTTATGTTTTTAAATATTTTAGATATTTTCACGGCCTCATTTTTCTATTTAACTTATACAGTACTAAAGGACTATTGTAACATAATTTTGTACAAAAAGTTTTTATAAAAGTTAAATGTGTCAATTTAAATAGTGTTACTTCTATTAACTTAATTGCAGGTTAATATAAACATGCATAATTTGATGAAAAAATATTTCCATGAGATGATTTTTCTTTCTAAAGTTATTTGCCCTTTGATTGGGATTTGTTTTCCTCTATGACCCAGAAAAATTCTCAAAACTACTCTTAATTTTTGTTACTGTAATTTTTATTGAATTTTTTGCTTGCTGCAACATTTTAATGATTTCTTCTGTAAAGTACTGAAGAGAACTTAGAAAACAAATCAGAGCTTGGAAAGGCTTAATCATTTTTCTCCTTTTTTAGTCGAAAAAAATGAATATTATATTCATGTAAATAGGGACTAAGAGATATCCTAAGAATTTTTCTTTAAATTGATGAAATAGAAGAAAAAGACACTACTGAAACTGTGGGTGCATTTAAAAAATGCACACTTTGGGTGCATTTAAAAAAGCATTATACCTATCTATTTTATACCCATTTTATTTATCCAATTAAAGAAAAATTTATAAATAATTTCAGTACTCAGACATGTTCCTTGCTTTTTGGCTGTGCATATTTTACACTGTTGGTATATACTCTGTAATGTTAACATTCAAGAAAATTTTATTTTTTCAAAACCGTCATTAGAAATTTTGAATTATGTTGATTTGAGAAATACTGCATTTTTAACGTATAATAAAATGACATCAAGTAAATATCATCTAGCTTCAAGCTAAATGGTGTGTAAACTATGTTGTGATATTCTTGTGTATGTGCTGCTGAAAAAATTCTGGGAGGATATGCACCAGAATTACAACAGCACTGTTACTGGATAGCAGGATGGAAATCTCTTTTTCCTTCTTTATGTCTTTCGGAATTGTCCTTTTCCCAACAACAAGCATATATTAACGTCATATGCAAAAAGAAAAAGTTTCATGTTAAAAAGAAAAGTGGAAAGACAATTACTTTATTCATTGAGTGCCTGCTGAATAAGCATCAGGTATGGCTTTTGGTCCTATGAATACATCAATGAAACAACCTACACAAACGAAAGCTCTGCTTTGTGAAACTTACCTTCTAGTGAAGGGAGACATACAATAAGCAACAACTGCAATCGTAAGTAAGTGAGAATACATTTTCAAAGCTAGTAAGTGCTAAGAGAAAGTAAGAGGAATCAGAAGCTGGAGGGAGGAGATGCAATTTTAAACAAGGTGGTTAAAGCAAGCCCCACTGAGAAAGCAGGACTCTCTCAATATTATCTTTTGTGACCCCTTTTCCTCTGCCATATTATCTCATTTTCATGTTACTCAGATTAAGAAAGTTTTTTAGGCATCATGAAGAAATCAGGAATTTCAATCCCATTTTAACCGCTGGAGAGAACATTTAAACATGTTTTGTTTTTGAAAGTACGTGAGAATTTCACCTTTAGAGAGAAATCTTCCTACGGACAGTGTAGGGGAGATACGATTTTCTGTGACTGGTGACTTGTATGGTTCCGATGTTGCAGAAATGTAGACAAATTTGAGGGTGTGTTGGGAAGCAGATTGTAAATGATTTTTTGAATGCCTTTTTAAACAATATCAACTTTCTGGAAATGTCCCAAATGTCTCAGAGTTAATCTCTCTCTCTCTCTCTTTTTTTTTTTTTTTTTTTTGACGTGGAATCTTGCTCTATTGCCCAGGCTGGAGTGTAGTGGCATTATCTTGGGTCACTACAACCTCCTCCTCCCGGGTTCAAGTGATTCCCCTGCCTCATCCTCCTGAGTAACTGGGATTACAGGCATGCGTCACCACACCTGGCTAATTTTTGTATTTTTAGTAGATACTGGGTTTCATGTTGGCCAGGCTGGTCTCAAACTCCTGACCTCAGGTGATCCACCTGCCACAGCCTCCCAAAACCCTGAGATTACAGCCATGAGCCATCAATCACACCCAGCTGCATTAATCTCTTTCTGTCTACAGTCCAACATCAGAGGCTGTCTCTAGAGCCACGTCAACACTGTTGCATAAAAGAATAATTGATATTCATAATGATACTCTTTCATATTGCCTATAAATTTATATGACTGATACCTAAATAGATTCCATTTGTGTAGTTGTTAACCAAGCACATTTATAGCATTACTTCATTTGCATTCAGGGTAGTAAAACAGATAATATAAATCCTACTTTTTAAAAATGTAGAATGCTAATCAACAAAGAAGTTAGATGTCTTTCTAGAAGTTGAAAGTCCAGGATTCAACTTCAAGAGTGTCCAGGATTCAACTTCAGAAGACCAAACTTCCCATTGCTCCATATAGACCGTGTAACAAACAAGAGGACTAAATCAGGGCAGTCACTTTGAGAGTGTGTTAATGCAGTTCAGTAGTGCTTAAAGCTCTGCTTTGAAGTCGTCTTTTAAAATAGTTTTCTTTTGAATATGTGCACATCTAAATTATCTAAAGAGGTTTTGAAAAGTAGCTGAAGTCATTCTTAGTAGAAAGAGATGGGTGATCAAGTGGGAGATTTTTTTAAAAATTAATAACAGTTCACTATAAAATATGTTATATTTTAAATAGAACATGCTACCACTATTTGATGTATGAGTATAAAATGAGTTGCATTGACGGAGTCACGAAAACAGATTCAGAAGTGGAATAAGTATGTGGCTACTTGAAGTAATTGCTTTGATAGATGATATACATTTCCATCTATAAATTTTGGTGTGTTAGTAAAAATAGTTCTATTATTTGATATCACACTGCATTTTCCCTTTGAAAGGCAAATAAGTATATATTAATTATAAATGCTTCCACATCTAAAAGCCATTGTATTTGTCATTACTCTACAGCCTGACTCCTGTCTATTTTGATATTAACAAAACAAAATCTATTTTAATACTGAATAACCGAACTTTCAGTCTTATTTTATTCTTTATTTACTTTTGGTCTTTATTATGAATATTAATAATGAAAAGGACCTTCATTTTCAGCTCATAATCAATAGGTATCAGCTATTAATTCAACATTGATTTATTGAGTGTATTAAGCAGCTATATTCCAGTCCCTCTACTAAGTAGAGGGATACAAAGCCATTTCTATTGTGACCACATTGGTAAGAATTAACTTCCCCTCTGTTCTTCCTACTGATGTCATAAACAGTCATCTGACATTTTAAAACCATATATCTCATTGAAAAGGGAACTAACTTTTTAGGCCTTGCATGTAAACCCCCAACACAGACTGGCTGCATTCCCTCTTTATAGGGAAGAGTACAAGCAGACTACAAGAACTTCAAAATCACATTGTACACAAGAACTTCAAAATTACATTATTTTCCCACTATGGCAAATTCAGTGCTGGGGATTTTGTGTACTTGGAGCATATTTGTGCCCCCTTTGAAATCTAAGAACGCTTTGTGTACAAGAGTAGTCGGAAAAGCAACTAAATGAGAAATGGGTGGTCTGAGGGCGGCCTTTCTCTGAAATTTGCTTACTTACTTTCTGGGGTTCCATTAAACGCTATGTTCCCGGTGAAGCCTGGCTTCATTTTCTATCCTGGAATGAAGCACTGCCTGCCCTGCTCATGTGGTAAAGGTACCTTGCACGCAGCCTTCACAGACTGCCAGTTAAGGCATGGGAAGACCTTATTGTGCCAGATTTCACAGTGTCTAGCGTGGGGCTTTGCAGAGTTGGTAAATGCTTTTTGAATTGAACCCTAACTTCTTTAAGCAGGCTCTAGTACCTTTATAAGATAAGAACCAACAATATTTGAGTCACTGGTTAGAAAGAATAATGTGAAACAAATGAAAGTGAAGGAGTATAGGTAGGGTTTGAGGTAAGCTGGGAAAAAAAGAATGAGAAGGGTTTCTTCAAATCCATGCTAAATCCTCTCAATTCTGAACACTCTGAAGCTAGAAATAAAAGCCAAACTATTTAAAATGTAGGCAGGAGGGATGCTTTGCTATGGTTATAACCACTTAGACTTATACTCCTCTAAAGGAAAAGTGAAAATATCACTCTTTATTCTGGATACCATCCACTATACATAGCACACACACAGACACACACACACACACACACACCACACAGGGACACACACACCCTACTCAAGCTAACGTATTAAAAAGGAAACTTGTTTAATTTTTAAAAAGACTTTCTGGTATACAGTGAATTTTCATTTTTATTTTTGTCCCTGTAGATAGCCGGGTTTATTTTTGTTTTTTGTAATGGAAAGCAGCAGGAGGAATCACAGTAATGGAAGAAAGAGTACCATCTAAACTTAGGAAAGACTTTGACACAAATTAGCTATGTTACGTTGATGCATCACTGAAGTGTCTGGATCTAGAAGTTTGGACTATATCTTTTCAAATGTAATATCCTGCAATCATGGGAGAAATTTATTAGTCCTTTTGGGAAGCTGCAAGTGATTGGGAGAAGCCCAACTTAACTCTCTGAAAACCTTTATGGAGGGTACATGTTGAATAAGTCTTTTTAGCATGAAACTAGAAATAATTAGATGACCAGTTAAATCTGACTCCCCCAAACACAGACACATACTCAAGGGGGCTACATAGTTTATTACAGTTAATCTTTTATATCATTAACAACATTCGTGTATGTTAGTGTTGTAAGTCGCCCTATGTCAGTATAAGAAGTAACATTGTGCTGGAAAGGTATTCAGCTTTGTGCATTAGTTTATGTGGAATATTATGAAAAAATTAATTTGACTTTGCATTATGAATTTTATGTGTTTAAGCTGTCAAAAATTCTCTGTGGTAAAAATAACTTCCATGTGTCTACCAATGTATATTGAATGATCTGTCTGCAATTAACAAGCAAGAACATAAGCATTAAAAAATGTGCGTGTCAACAAACAAAAGTAGAGTTCCCTTTGACTTACACTAGAGGCACAGAAATACCATCTTTGGAAAAATTTCAAAAACAAGAAAGTTTCTAAGTTTCAAAAAATTATATGGGTGTACATTTCATGTAAGTTCTGTTTAGCTTAAAATGATCTTGATACTTAAGTGAATAGGAGATATGCAAAGCAGTTACATGTTGGGAGTGAGTAATTTTACTTTATTTCCAAATAATAGGATTTGAGGTCAGGAAAGGTAACTGGAAAGATCAAACTATGTCTCATGTCACCGGACTATGGGTTCCTCTCTGTAACTTGTGGGCCAAGAACAAGGCTTTGCACTTGATAATTTAGTAGGAGCTCAAGAGATGACTGGATGAATAAATAATGATCTGTTTTTGTTGGCACATAAACAAGTAATTCTAGTTCTTTCACCTTGTTTGGAAGAGGTTCATATGTTTCAAAACAGAAAATTATATGAAATTAATGATTTGTAGGCAGAGAACTGCAAACATCTAGCATAAGGTATTAGGATACTGAGAGCTGGAAAGAGGCAGATAAGGCATTTGGTTATCAGGGGAGACCAATGTCCAGTTTGTCCATTTGTCAGTCTCTCCTTCTCTCTCAGTCTTTGGCCAGGAAAAACACTGATATTTTTTCCAAAATGCATGTTTTTACTTCTTTGTTATTCTGTGTTTTTTTCAGAAAGTCTGACTCACACCTCCAGGGAACTAATTTAGTGGGCAAGAAGTTTATTTGAAGTCTTAGGTATAAAATGAACAATGGTATAAATGAAAATGAACTATTTTCCACAGTGATGTGGAAGATAGGATGAGTGATATGCATCCGGAGATGAGAAAAGAAGGTATCTACCATTTTGCAATCTTGGCCTTCAAGTAAGGAAGCTTGAGAAAGTAATGTGTGTGAATTAAGAAAATGGACCTGTTGTGGGGAGGAAAGAATTTGCAAAAACTTCTATTTGTTTATAATTATGCTTCTAACATACTAACATCCTCTTTTTCTTAGCAGGCTCTTTGGGGCCCACTGGGTTCTGACTGGTGATTTTTTAATATGACTTTAATGCTCCATTTATCTTGGACATCTTGTCCTCTTGAGTTGTGCTGGTGTTGCATTTTCAGTATTTTAGAGACTGTAAAGATCCTGGCATGTGTGTGTGTGTGTATATATATATATATATATAAAACTGTGTAATAGTCTTTTGTCAAACAGTCTGAAAATTGTATATTTTCAATAGAGATAGAAGTGTGTCTCAGGCAATGTAAATCGCATTACCTTGCTGTGGGACTGCAAGGACTTTTGTGAAATCTCCAAATGTCTAAATGGTTCCAGCTTCTGTAAGCAGCCACAGTTGACAAAGCAGCACTCATCTAGAGTCCTTTGTTAATTCTATAGAAGAGAAAGAGGAAGAGTTACTAGTGAGTCAGCTGCCTTGGTTAGCAAACATAACGTAATTATGCCCAGAAAATTAAAAGAACCTCAAGTGAATCTGTCATTTTTCTCTGAAGTATTTCCTCATCTTTGTGTGGGCTATATATTTTAAATGTCACAAGGCATTTGAAGACAGCAATCATCTCTTTTCTATTTGTGTATCACCCCTTTTAAAAAAATCAAGCATATGCAATCAGTGTTGTATAGAAAACCAACAACAGACAAATGAGAGATGGCTATTGGGGGAAGAAGAAGCTTTCTCTTAAGGATATGCTATTATTTGGTTAAATTTTCAAAATGTTACTTTTAGAGCCTTTCTGTGCTAGAATGTCTATTTATTCATAATTTTTCTTGGTGGATGTTTCAATTCTTTTAAATTACAAAGGTATCATTAGTACAAGTCAAAATATGTAAAGAGGTAGAGAAAAAAAGGTTAATATTTTCCTTGTTCTACCTTCCATTCCCAACTAGAATTTTTATTATTTGTATAAAGATGAGATTCCATTGTATTCATAATATTCTCTCCTTTTCCCCCATGCTATAAATATTAATTTTTAAACTTGCTTTATTTCAGTGTGTTATTGGATCTAATACATTATTTAAAATTGTAGTATAACATTTCATAACATAATTACATAGTTTATTCATATTTTTTTTCTTGATGAGCTTTCAGATTATCTCCAGTGGTACAATAAATCTCTTTGCTTTGGAGTTTAAAGAGCCCAACTAAGAGTCATCTTGTGGATTCAAATGTTCCTGCCACCAATTTCTAGGCCATTGGCACATTTGGTCAGGAAAATAGCTTTTCTCGGTAGAATGTGCCATCTTCCCACATTGCTGGGCGAGGTTAGCTCTTTGGTCTGCCTGTGGTGGAGCATGACATCTTGGTCACTCAGTATCAGTGGCAGACTTTGAAAGGAAGATGGTGCCAAATGTGAGTTTGCCATGGCCAAGTACAGCCCCGAAGTAAAGCAGTTTTGTTACTTAGCCTCCCTATTTGGCCAGTTCTGTTTTCAATCTTAAAATAGTAGTTAATGAATACAACTTTAGCAAACTTTTAGATAGTTTTGTGATTATTTTATTTTCCAGCATCAATCTACAAAATAGAACTAATTAGAAAGCCTATGTCTGAAATAGCAATATAAAGGCAAAAGCAAAAACTTTCAAAATAGCAGCCAGCTAGCAGCAAAATGATCTTGAAATAAACGTGAAACCCAGAATTTCTTTTTCATGCTGATCACCCACTACAAGGGTCACTTTTTAGAAGATTCTTTTTTAGCAACAGACATTGGGGTTCACTTGAGGGTGAAGGGTGGGAGGAGGGAGAGCTGCAGAAAAGATAACTATTGGGTATTTGGCTTAATACCTGGGTGATGAAATAATCTGTACAGCAAATCCCCATGACACAAGTTTACCTATGTAACAAACTTTCACATGTACCCTTGAACCTAAAGTAAAAGTTAAGTAAATTATTATTATTGTTTTTTGAGACAAAGTCTTGCTCCATCACCCAGACTGGAGTGCAGTGGCGCAATCTTGGCTCACTTCAACCTCCACCTATTGGGTTTAAAAGATTCTCCTGCCTTAGCCACCTGAGTAGCTGGGATCACAGGTGTGAGCCACCATGCCCGACTATTATTTTTATTTTTTATTTTTTAGTAGAGACAGGGTTTCACCATGTTGGCCAGGCTGGTCTCAAAGTTCTGGCCTCATGATCTGCGCACCTTGGCCTTCCAAAGTGCTGGGATTACAGGCATAAGCCACCATGCCGAGCCAAAAAAATTATTTAAAAAAAAGAATTTCTTTTTCAATATACAAATTTCAACTCAATATTCGTTTAAAATGTCCCATCTTGCTGAAGAAGTTTACCCATTTTATTTTATATAAAATACATACATTTATTTAAATATTTAAGATCACATATCTTAACATTTTAAAAACTATTATCATATTTAATTTTAAGGTTTTAGACTAGCAGGCAAGTAAGAATTCAGTTATTCATGGAGTTGTTCCTTTAAGACCAGCAGAGTTAACTTCTTTGCGGTTACACAGGAAGAGATACTTGCAGTCATAGTGGTTTCTGATGTGATGTGAATTGGTGGAGGACAGAGTGGAAGCCAGTAAATGGGGTCTACTTCCAAACTAGCCACTTCTTACAAGCTGTTGAGAAGAGATCTGACCAAAATTAATGTATCATAGGAGAGCTCACAAGATAACCAAACATTCAAACTAGAGAGCAACACTGTGAAGAGATGGGGAACCAATTATATGCATCAGTTGTGTGTGTGTATGTATATATATATATATATTCAGAGAGAGAGAGATTATTCCATCGTCCAGGTATTTTTATATATATATATGTGTGTGTGTGTGTGTGTGTGTGTGTGTGTATGTGCGTGTGTGTATATATATATACACATACATACTTTAACAAACTTTTAGATATATATATGTATACACACAGACACATTTTCCCACCTATTTTCTCTATATAAAAATAATGAAGGCAGAATATAAAGTAGCTTTATATGGCTATGTGCATTATGGGGATTCAAAGAGACAATTTTGTGATAATCCATATCGTGTTGCTTTCAGAGTGAACTGCAACTGGGTTTGCATGCCTGAGTGCTGGCTTAGCAGCTGTGCAACTTTAAATGAGTCGCTTAACCTCTCTGATCCCCAGTTTCCGCATCCACGAAACAAGGGTCATACTTCAGTACCTCATGGGATTATTGGGAGGTTTAAATAATATAATATAAAAATGTTCTTGTAGTATTGAATAAAAATGCTGGTTTTCCTCTTAGAAAATGCTGGAGGTCTTCCCAAGAGGAAAATACTTCTTGTCAGGATTAAAGAGGATACACAAGAAGGTGGTACAATAAAGAACGCTTAGTGAGATATGAACAATGATGCCAACAATCAAACATATGCCTTATAGTTACAAAGAGTTTATTTATTCTTTATGTCATTAGTGCTTCACAAGCATCCTGTGAATCCATAGGCTAATTGCTATGCCCGTTATATAAGGGAGGAACTGTGACTTAGAGAAATTAAATGGATTGAACAATATCACCTTACAAGTCTATAATGGAGCATATTCTTTTTGACCAATAGTCTATTGCTCTTTACAGTACACTAAGTTATCTATATGTTATCCACAGTTGCCAAATACCAAGCAGTTAAAAGTCTGATGGATTCCAAAATTGTATCTCAAAACATAGCTCTGTTCTCAAATTTCCCATGATTCCTGGAAAGACAATAATATCTATGGAATTAATAGAAAGACTCTTTTTTGGGCAATTCCGAACTATTCCTGGACTCCTAAGGACCATGCTAAGCTCAATTTGCATTTCTTGGATTCTGTGAACCAAAGATGTTGTGTTTCTATTGTTAAATGCACCATGTTTTGTGACTGTGTCATTTAGTTTTTAGCATTTCCTGAATTGAAGTTACTCCCTCCAACTACCATGAAAAGTTGGATTTGTTCTGTGTAGCCCAAGGTTTACATATTTCTGCCCTTTTTAGGTGTCACAAATGAGCATCTCCATCCCTCAGTGCATTCTATATTAGGGTATCATAGTGCATTCTATGTTAGGGTATCTATCTTTGCATGCATATATTTTCTCTCCCTTTTGAGAGTGCAAGTTTCCTAAAGATGGAAAGTATACCATACGTCTGTACTCTCAGGCCTAGCTGAGAGGCTAGCATTAAATAGCTTTTCATTAAAATGCTTGCTGCTGCTGCTGCTTTCAAGATGCTCTTCAGAGTTGACTTCTCAGGAGAGATTCACTAGAAAACATCATAAAAAGAAGGTCAATTTTAGAGTAAGCAATAACTGTTACCTTCCTCCCTCTATAGTGAATGATCTCTTGAGAATTCTTTCTTAGAGAGAGACAATTGTTAGGGAGACAAAGGGTGCTTAGGAAAGAATTAATAATTACCATGTCGACCTGAAGATTAAAAAAAACCTAAAATAGGTCCTACTTTTCCAAACATTAACATGAATTTATCGAAAATTAGGTTTCAGACCAGAACAGATCAAAATATCCAGTGCTCTCTAGGGAAAAAGCTTTTGAGATAAAGTAGAATTTCTTATTTCTAAGAAGTAGGAAAAGAGTGTTTTGTTTGGTCCCTACAAATTATAGTTATTTGGTTTCAGCCTGAACAACTACCACAAGCAAATACTGGCAGGCCGAGTCTCTACAGGAGTGGTCAAAAAAGCCAGTTTTCATTTCCTTCCAAGCCCTAGTTTGGCTGATCCATCCATAGAAAAGCAGAACAAAAGGCAAGGGATTACTGCACCCTTAAGCATCCAAGTGGCTCATTCGGCTCAGGGGTTATTTTTAGCAATCTGGCTCACACTAAGGACTTCCTGCTCTGTTCAGCAAATGTGCAAATGGACGCTGCAGGACCGTAACAGTAGACATTGATGAAGGTTGTGATCAATGATTAGACTCTCAAGCCTGTTGTGTTTTTGATCTAGCCATGCCTTTCAACCACTGTGGTGAACATTTAGCTCTGAATAGGCTCATCTTCTTCATATGCACATTCTATTTGTAGATGTTGCTATGAGGACAGATTCATCAAAAATGACTGATGTGGAGTCTGGGGTCGCCAATTTTGCATCTTCAGCAAGGGCAGGCCGCCGGAATGCCTTACCAGACATCCAGAGTTCAGCTGCCACAGACGGAACCTCAGATTTACCCCTCAAACTGGAGGCTCTCTCCGTGAAGGAAGGTAATACTCAAAATCCTCTTACAATTAACAGCACTTGTCCCTTCTTAACCAGCCCTTTTCTCTGGACAGTCTTTCTTTTACCTAGTTAAAAGTGCTCAGTTTCCTTATTTGTTTACTTAAACTTCTCAGCTTTTGTTTAAGGCTTAGTGGATGTTCAGCCTTTTCCAAAGTAGAATATTTCATCTTTTTGTCTCATGCTGTGTATGTAGAAACTGAAGTTTTATTTATTCATTGCATGTGTATAGTTATAGTCATGCACAAAGCTAATAATTGGGAATACAAAGGTGAACAAATATGATCTTTCTGTCAATGAGCTTTCAATTTTATTGAGAAGTATTCATAAATAAAGTAATTTTTCTTCTGCCATCCATTGACAAATCACTTTGGAAGCTTCTGCTTCACTGTAGTGTGCCACAAGCTCTTTAATTCTCAAATCTGAAGTTTACTCTCAAGCAGGGATGAGATTCTTTCAAGAAAATTTTTGTAGAAAAGGTGATCATTCTTGACATTAAGAGAAAGGTAGAGCTGTCACACCATGAAGGGAAATCTTAGGTCTCTCTCTCCATTGTTTACATACAGTTTATATAGCTTCCAGAATTTAGTCTCCTGAAAACGAATATAAGGATACTTTCAATAAAGTGTTAAAAGGTGCCTTTCATTTAAAAACTCTTATGGAGATTTAAAAAAAACAACAACAAAACCCTGAATCAAAGTTAAAAACTACACTCAGAGAGATTAAAGATCATTTTTGTTCCAAGTCATTAGCAAACTACTCACCTTTTGTGCCCCGTTTTAGACTCTCAGGTGGACTCTAGTGTATGTTTGGGAATTTATTCTTGGTGACAACAAAGCAAGTGAGAACCAGAAGCCGCTCACATCTGGCCCATTCCTGGGAGCCCAAGAAGGCGGCTCTTGGTTCTTTGCTTCAGGAGGTTATTTACTACCTGGTAAAGTTTCAAATGTTCCTGGTTCATTCTCTATGAAATGGTTATATCCTTGTAGGCCAGGAGCTGTGACCAGATCCTGCAGTGCCATGATTACCTCATGTTTTTCCAAAGGCCACTATTTCTCATATGCGACACTATAGGTGAGAATTAAAAAGCATACACTTCAACGTAAAATATAATAAGAAGAATGAAAAGATGGGAAAGATAAGGGAAAAAAGAAATAAGCATATATGTAATGTTTTTGGCCTTTTAAGTTTGAAAATGTAATATGACCATAGGAACGTGATGTTGCTGTTGGAGTCCGTTCTAAACTAGTGAGGTAGAGAAGGCAATTACTTGTTAGTGTAAAAACCCTAATTAAATTTTATACACCTTCAACACACACAAAACCTTAATGTAACTGACATTACTTAATCAAGCAAAAGAGAGCAAATACACTATGGGAGAGTCAGCAGTGTTCTCCATTTTATTTTGGTCACTAGAGAGACTAGGATCTGAAAGAATATGTTACTGTTTTTATATTTTTCTTCATATCATTTTGAAATAAAGTCAAAGGCATCAGTTAAGAAACTGAAAATGGTAAAAATGAATTCACAAATAACACCAGATGCTAAAGATTACGCAAAAGGATGAAGGCATGTTGTAAAGTGAAATAGGCCGGGCACAGAAAGGCAAATACCACATGATCTTATTCATGGAATCTGAAAGAGACAAACAGCTAGAATCAGAGAGTAGAATGGTAGCTACCAGGAAAATTAGGAAGATGATGGTCAAAATACATAAAATTACAATTAGGAGAAATAAGTTTAGGGGATCTATTGTAGCAAAAGGCTGACTATAGTTAATAACAATGTATTGTATACTTGAAGATTGCCAAGTGAGTAGATTTTGAGTGTTCCCACCACACATACACACACACACGTAAGTATGTGAGGTAATGAATATGTTAATTAGCTGGATTTAGTCACTCTACAATGTATGCATCTATCAAAACATCATGTTGCACAACAACATAAATACATATAATTTTTATTTGTCAATGAAAAATTAAAGAGTAGAAAAAAATACACAAAAGGATATAGGCTTATATAGGTAGATGACAGATAGTATTTTATTAACACAGTTACAAGTAAGCAATTTGAAGGTTTATCTTTTTCTCATTAGCTAAGCATAGATATTATTATGAATTTTAAAATGAATCGTTTCCAATTGATAATGAAAACTGAAAGCTGGAGTCTTTCTCAGATGTTATGGTTTCAATAATTTATTCACTTAAACATACAAATTATGAGGTGAGGAAGATCTGCAGATTTCCCTCAGGTCTATCCTCTTTTGTTTATATTTTTAATTTTTTTAATAAATATGCGTAAGCGGCAGGAAATCTAGGATTTCCAGTGTCCTGCATGCTGTATGAAATTAACCTGAGGTTTGCCCAGTTCATAATCTGTCTTAATCTATTCCCTATAAATTGATAACCATGATAAAAAGGTCAGTGATATTTGATGACATATGAACAAGAGGTGACAGAGGGTGGCATCCTGGGATGGAGAAAGGTCAGTGGATTTGGGATATGTTTTGTAGGCAGAATCAATAGGACTTGCTGATGAATTGGATGTGGCAGAGATGAGGAAGAGAATTGGGGGATAACTCCTCGAGCAGTCAGGCAGGTGCTGATGCCATAACACTGAGAAGTGTTAGCCTAGAGGATGGGCAATTTTGAGAGTTGGAGGAGTGAAAATTTTTGTGTTTAGGATACCTATGAGACATCTAAATGGACAAGTCAATGAAGCAATTTGATATATAAGTCTGGTGGACCAGAGGGGAAAAGATTCAGAGATACACATTTTTGAATATTTGAGTGTAATTTTTTTTTTTTTTTTTGAGACGGAGTTGCACTCTTGTCTCCCAGGCTGGAGTGCAATGGCGTCATCTCAGCTCACTGCAACCTCTGCCTCTTGGTTTCAAGTGACTCTCCTGTCTCAGCCTTCTGAGTAGCTGGGATTACAGGCGCTCACCACCACACGCCGCTAATATTTGTATTTTTAGTAGAGATGGGGTTTCACCACGTTGGGCAGGCTGGTCTCAAACTCCTGACTTCAGGTGATCTGCCCAACTTGGTCTCCCAAAGTACTGGGGTTACAGGCATGAGCCACCGCACCTGGCCTTAAGTGTATATTTTCAAAATTTATTTTATATGATTGAGGAGAAAATAGTGCAAATGAAATTCTCCCATACCTCACAAGCCAAACAAGCAGATTACCTTTACAGTACAAATGGAAACACAGAATATGAGAAAGAAAGAGGGAGCCTTAGAAGGGCTCCACTCTTTTGATAGATAGATGTTACCATAACTAACCCCAAACAGGTTAAGTGACTTGCTCGAGCTCACAAAAATTAAGTGATAATAGAATTTCTGGTTCCAAAGCCTTCATCTTTCCCATTATACCAACTTTTGTCTATAAATGCTTCATGGAAATTCTTTTGGGTATTAATGTGTCACCCAGATTAAAAGGGTGCTGTGGTCAAGTAAGTTTGGAATTGCTGGTTTCAACATAATTGGCTTTTTACACTTCTCGGAATGTTTCCTTTTTAGACAAGGACTTCTCAGAGCCTTTGTTACAGAGACTTTAAAGTAATAGTGTGTCTACACCCTTCTAAAAATAGAACATACAGCATTTTTTTTTCTGTCATTTATTTGACTATCTCTAAAGAAGCATCTTGCAGAATTATTGTTCTGTGAAGCACTCTAAAAATGTGACAAGGAGTAGAAAAAACAGTTGATACAAAGAAGAGCAGAACACAAGGATGGAAATAGAAAATGTAAAAAAAATAGACTATTATAATCTGATTTATGTTAAACGTATATTAATGAAAAGCCTAATTTAGTAAACGGTTAAAGTGGTTTATTACCTAAAAGATACATAATAAGGATCTGAACGTAATATTTATTTATTTATTTTATTTTATTTTATTTTTTTTTTTGAGACGGAGTCTCGCTCTGTCGCCCAGGCTGGAGTGCAGTGGCGCCATCTCCGCTCACTGCAAGCTCCGCCTCCCGGGTTCACGCCATTCTCCTGCCTCAGCCTCCGGAGTAGCTGGGACTACAGACGCCCGCCCGCCACTGCGCCCGGCTAATTTTTTTCTATTTTTTAGTAGAGACAGGGTTTCACCATGGTCTCGATCTCCTGACCTTGTGATCCGCCTGCCTCGGCCTCCCAAAGTGCTGGGATTACAGGCGTGAGCCACTGCGCCCGGCCAATATTTATATTAAGTAACGTGTTACTACGTATAAGAAATGTTTTTCCAAACTAGGCTTCTAGAGAACAGAATCAAGCCAGATAATCTAGAACTCAACATTTTCTTACTTTCTCAAGAGTTCTTATTATGATCAAAAAAGTGAGATAAATAACTGTTCAGAAAAGCTTATTAACATTTGAAATGACAGTAACAGGCTTGAAGGGGAAGTTTGATGTTGCACTCTCAGAGAAATTATGTTGAAAGAATATATTGAAAATATATTCAATTACATTGAAAGCACTTGACATGTGCAGAAGCTTGAAGAATAACAATGTTAACTAGGAAGTTCATAATATATGAAAAATAATTTTCCTTTCATTAACATCACAATACAAAAAGTTTTCTTTTCATTAACATCACAACTCAAAGTTGACAGCAATCATAACCTCTTGAGCAGATTATTGTTTCTTTTTATCTACAATCATCTTTCAATGTATTTCTAAACACTTTCACATTACAAAGCAAAAAATGAGACTGTAAGAGGTATTTGAAATCATGTTTTATATTTTAGTTAATAATCCTGAGCAAGATACAAGATAGACAACAAATGGTATCCTGTTAGTTTTCATCTAATTATTACCTTGATTTCCTAGTACATTTCATAGAAAGATAACAACTTAAGGGGACTTCATACTATTATCTGCTCATTAGACAAACTTGAGATAGCAGATTTAACAACTCTTCTCTGAAAGCTATAAAGCTTTGTGTGTAGCTTGCTTAGAATCTGTGGTGGCAAGTGCAGCTTCAATTACTGTACAAATAATTTAGTTCTTTGTATTTCATACTGTTATAGAGTACCATTTTCCACCAAGCTTATTTTTCTAAGGGATTTCTTTCAATACACACTTATTAAGCACCTGCCATGTTAATTAGAAGGCAACCAATTATGATTGCTAGGGGTACAAATTCTCCCTTGATCCCAATTCTCCCTCCAGCTACTGTCCTAGTTCTCCATTTCTGTTGTGTAACAAAACTTCTTGACAGAGTTATCTGCTTCTGTGGCTCCAAATCTTCTGCGTCCCATTCTCTCTCTCACCCTAATAAGATTTGCACTTCACCACATCACCCCACTGCTATTTCAAGATGACAAATGACATTGTCTCTGCTAATATCAGTGGTTCATTCTTAGCCCTCCTCTTGCATGATCTCTTAGTCATAGATGATTGTCACTCCTTCCTGTAACGTTTCTCTTCCCTTGGCTTTCCGGGCACTCCACTCATCTAGTTTTCTTCCTGCTTCCCTGGAGGCTCCTCCTTCAGCTTTACTTTCCTCATCTCCCCTAACTCTTAATAAATTGGAGGTTATCAAAATTCGGTCTTTGGACATCATATCTATCAACACTCTGTCACTTGTGATGTAATCTGATCTCGTTGGGATAATGATCGTGCTTTTGATGACTTACAAATTTGTATCTCCAACCTGGAGCTCTCCTGAACTGCACACTCATATACCAATTGCCTAATTGGCATCTCTGCTTGGATATCTAATGGGAATCTCAAACTTAATGGATATAAAAGCGAACTCCAGATAGTCTCCCAACAACAGCTCTTTCTGCATCTTCCCATCTCTGAGTGGCAATTCATACTTCCAGTTAACAAAATTATTGCCAAAAATATTGGAATCATCCTTATCTCCCTTCTTTTTCTTGTATTCTCCATCTCATCTATCAGTGAATACTGTCAGCTCTACTTTCAAAATTGATCCATAAATCTGCCATTTTTCACTCACAAGATCTAGTTTTTTTTGGTACCTCTGTGACTCCATTTTCCATTCTAATTTTCTCTACCACTGTCCCATTTGCAAATCCTTCCTGTGTATTATTGTCTTTGGCCTTGCTTTTCTCTGTGCTTGGAATGCTCTTCTCCCTGCTATCCATATAGAATTCTTCTTCAACTTTTCAGGCCTTTACTCAAATGTCCCCTTCTCAGTGAGACATACCCAGCTAGCTCTGTCTAGAATTGCATCCTCCAGGCCCCAAGACTTCTTGAAAATTTCTATTTTCCACTCCTGCTTTAATGTCTTCATTAGCCCTTTTTACTTCTGATTGACCACAATTTTATTTATTTTGTTTATTGTCCATATTTCTCATCAGATTTTTCCTGAGAGCCAGGATTTATGTTTTGTTCATTGCCTTGTACATAGTACACGCTTAATAAATATTTGATGAATTAAAGTTGAAGAACTGAATAAAGTCCATCAGATTTCAAAGATGCCATTGATGACTTGGCGGGAACAGTTTTGTAGAAGTAGTAGACCTAAATAGTTTTACTTAAAAATGGAGACAACAAAAGAGGGATACTTCTTAAAGGATGAAAGAGAAGATAGGATGTGGAAGACTTACAGTTGAAAGAGGGTCTTTTTTAGTTTAAACATGGTAGTGAATTGAGGGAATGGAGGAGCCGGGAGAAAGGAAAAGTCAGATACAATGAAGAGCAGTAGATGATTATTAGAGTCAACCTCTTGATGAAGCAAAAATTGATAGGATGTGGGATCATGAAGGTATTAAACTGCACAGCAGGAGTAACATCAGGAGCCAGCTCCAAAATTGTGCAACCAGGGTGGTTGCATAGGGCTCCTTGATTAGAGGAGACTTGCACTTGGTTTAATGTTCTATTGTTGCTGTCTTGAAATTTTTCATTATTTTTGAACAAGGGCACTGCATTTTCATTTTGCACTGGACACCAACAAATTACATAGCCAGTGCTGACGAGTGCATCTTCCATTGTAAAAAGAGGGAAGGCAGAAAGAATAAGCACAGATCACAGAGAGTTTTAGACATTTAATGGCAGGAAGTTGAGGGAGCGCCTGTCTGATAGCTTTGATTTTTTTTCCTATGAAGTAGAAAGTGAGGTTATCTCCTAAGAAAGAGCAAAGAGTGTAGAAAGTGTGAAGAAGCTGGGGGGAGTACAATCCTGCATAGGGAAATGGCTAAGGACATGGACCACAGAGTCAGTTGACCCAAGCTCAAGTTGTGACTGTCACTCACTAGTCTCTGACTTTGGACAAATCGCTTAACTTGCTTGTGTTTCATTTTAGTAATCTGTAAATGGAGGTACTGAGAATACTCTAGAAGACTGCCTGGCACTTAATAACTCTGTAGAATAGGAGAAAGTTGATCAGGAGAAGGTAGATTCCCAAACCTACTCATATCTCTCTTCTTTGTATAGTTTCCATATCTGAATTGAGGGCAAAATATGGACAGTGGACAAAGGAAAAACCAACAGTTTTATTCCAATGTAATATAAAATAAATTTCAATATATTCCACATATGAATGGAATTTTTATTTTCAGATGCAAAAGAGAAAGATGAAGAAACAACACAAGACCAATTGGAAAAGCCTCAAAATGAAGAAAAATGAAGGCTCATAATCTGTCAAGAGTGCTGAATTTCCGCATGTTGAAAGACTTAGTGGTTCTGTTTTCCTGAGACATTTAATCTGGTGGTAACTGTGGTAACATTGCAGCCCTAAGCAGCATGTGTATATTAGATAATTGTGTTGTGATGCTACTCACTTTGATTGCAATGATGATGTCCAATCTAAGCTATTAAAAGGCAGGTCACTTCCAAATCGCACCGAAGAAAAAGGTTAAAAATAATACATGATCACAGAAATGCATACCATTGTCTGTAAGCCCAACAAAATTCACTATTCTCTTTTGGATTTACTTAGCCTGATGTATTTTTAATTCAGTTTTTATGATGATAAGCAAATCATTTCTTGGTAACTGTAAATCAAACACCATTGATTTAAAACTTCATGGAATTTGTAGAAAATTATGGACTTTTTTTTTTTTTTTTTTTGGTGAGAAAGAACAATAGTCAAAACTCACATGGATAGTGTTTGTTTTTAGCCAAAAATGCCCCAGATTTTTTCCCAAACCTCAAAAACGATTTGGAAAAATTGCAAAAGTTTGATAACAGAAACATCTTTAGGATATTTTTGCCTGACATATTTTGCTTCTAGTATGTGCCTACTGTGATTTTTTTCATGTGGAAAATGCAAAATTTGTAACAAAATGTTATATGGAACATGCCTATTAAATGAGTTTTACTATCTTCCTTAACTTTGGTATATGTATGTGTGTGTGTGTTTTACTTTAATATGAATTATACAAAATACTAGTGGTTTTACACTCTCTTTTCTTATTCTTAGGGCTTTTGTGTATGTCTGATTTGTTTTTAAATACCTTCCTCAGGAATGCAGACCTTAATTTTTATATTTTTTTAAAGTAGCTAACATAGCAGTAGGCACTTAAGCATTTAGTCAATGATGCTGGTAGAAATAGTAAAATACATCCTTTAAACATGTATATCTAAACATATTTTAAAAGGAGCAAAAATAAAACCAAAGTGTTAGTAAATTCTGATTTATTAGACATTTTAGAAAAATAATAGAATTCTGAAGTTTTAAAAATGTCAGTGATTAATTTATTTTCATTTTCAGAAATTTATGCATGCAGTTATATTTTATTTGATTGTTGACTTAGGCCACGTCTGTATATAGTAACCGAATAAACTCTTTTGCTGCTAAAGAGATTTGTTACTGACACAAGTCTCCTTCATTTTATCTTCAGAAGTAGGCTGGGTAAAAAATGGTGACATATTTTAAAGAATGAAGTTAATAGTTTTTGCAATATAAATCACCTCTGACTTATTATTTTATTGATAGAGCTTACCTTTATATCTTATATACACCAAAGGGGTAGATCGCAAAGAACTTGATTGCTATAAGTTTTTAAATATAGTTTTTTCCTTATTAAATAATCAAAAGTAATATTTTAAGTGTAGCACTAATTTAATATTCAATAACATCACAGCCATTAAAATTATATTTCTAAGTGTTATTTAATGACATGAGGTTATATAATCAGATAAAGAGGGGTTGGAGTGGAACAGTGGTTTTCAGCATGTGTGGGGAAGCAATTTTGACCTCTAGAGGGCATTTGGTAATGTCTGGAGACTTTTTGGCTGCCACAACTGGAGGTGGAAAGCAAGGGAGAAAAGGTGCTACTGTAATGTAGTAGGCAGAGGCCAGGGATACCGTTACACTGCTAAGCATCTTACTGTCCCGCAGGGCAGCCCTGACAGCAAGGATTACCCGGCCATGTGTGTCAACAATGCTGACTCTCTGGAGTAGAGTTAAACTGTTAAGCATGTGGATTTTAAATTCAGATTATCTAGGTTTGAATTCTAGCTCTGCTACTCAGTAGTTGCTTTATCCTGGGCAACTTACATCATGTCTCTAAGTCTGTTTTATCCTCTGTGGAATGGTTTTAATAATAGTGCATACTTTATAGGGTGGGTGGAGGCAGTAAATGAGATAGTATATGCAAAACAATTGAATAATGCCTGGCAAAGAATAATTATTCAATAAATATTAGCTATCATCATCATCATTGTCATATTTATTCAAGATGCTCTTGCCAATACTGTGGTAGTGGAGGTGGTAGGAAGCTCAATTTGTTTATTTGTCTGTCTTCTGCCTTTCTTTGTGACTTCACAAACTCTGTAATATCCCCAATGCTTGGTGCTGGGAGAAAACAGGATGGTAGAAATAGACAATTCATGGTCATTACCACATGAATGCCAATTCCATCATGCTAATGGGTGACTGACAGGCCATGAGTATTACCATTTAACAAAGAGTCTACTCACTAGTGTTTTATGACAGTTACTGCAAAAAAATAGAATCTTGAGTCAGTATTTAAATGAGTAATTTGTTCCATGAAAATGTAGAAGAAATAAAGTGACATCGTTCTTGGGTCATAGTTTTCTACAGTATTTTTCTCATTTAGAAAACCAAAAGTAAAGCCATGTCCCTCATTATTGCTACCAGTTACATATATTCTGACTGATACATATTCTAAATCACTTATTCACTACAATGCACACACAAATATTCCACTATTTTGTATTACCCAAGGTATCAGGCTTGTTAACTGAGAATATGTGCCAACAAAAATGGTTTATTTTTACTGAGGAGTCCAAACAAAGGAGAATGAGAGGTCAGTAGCAGTTTAAAGACAACACTGAATTTGCCTACCAACTTTTTAAAAAATCAAGCTATTTTGAGGAACTTATGGTATTTTGTCATAGCAAGTAGACACTTTTACCAAAGCTATTTATTTGGGAGTCATTAGTCTCCTTGCCCATTTTGCCATTGTCTTTGTACAAGGCACTTGCTTTAGTTAATAGCTATAAAGTCTAAATTAACACTGTCAGATAATGAGGCTAAAAGGTGACAATAAAGCTAGAAAGCAGTTGTCTGAAAACTTAACTCTGTATAAAGGAGAAAGAACAAAAAGAATCTATTTTGTGTCATGTACCCAGAGATATTTTGTGATCTGGGAAGAAACGATTTGAACCTTCTAAAAATGTTAGTGAACATAAGTAGAGGTGCCCTACTTAGAATAGAAAATAAACCACTAGTTTTCCTCAGGTGGCTTGACAACTTGGGCAGATGTTTGGCAAGGGACGGGGGGATAGAGAGCAGCAAGAGGAAAATGAAAATTCTGGTGTTCTATGCCACTGTAGAATGACTATAGTTAATAATAATATATAATTTAAAATAGCTAGAAGGGGCCAGGCACAGTGGCTCACACCTGTAATCCCAGCACTTTGGGAGAGCAAGATGGGTGGATCACTCGAAGTCAGGAGTTCAAGACCAGCCCGGCCAACATGGTGAAACCCTGTCTCTACTGAAAATACAAAAATTAGCTGGGTGTAAAAAAAAAAAAAAATTAGCTTGGTGTGGTGGTGGGTGCTATTGTCCTAGCTACTCAGGAGGCTAAGGCAGGAGAATCACTTGAACCCAGGAGACAGAGGTTGCAATGGGCCGAGATTGTGCCACTGCACTCCAGCCTGGGCAATAGAGCAAGACTCTGTCTCAGAAAACAAAAACAAAAACAAAATAAAATAAAATAGCTAGAAGGAGAATGTTGAGCATTCTCAACACAAAGAAATGACAAATGCTTGAGATGATGAATATACAAATTACCATGATCTGATCACTCTCAATTGTATGTATCAAAACATCACTATGTACTCCATGAGTATGTATAATTATTATTTGTTAATTAAAAAGTAAAATTAAAAAACGATGTAACCAAAGCTCGCTAATCTGTTACCCTGTCTGTGGAGCCTGACCCCTCAAGTTCAAAGTACAGATCTGTCATTTCCTCTTATGATTTTGTTTATTTTATTCCTTGTGCTTCCATTTCTTCAATGTGTAAAATGATAAATTATTATGAGGATTGAGTGAATATTGCTAATTGATTAAGGTCAGTGCCTGGCATACTAGCAAAAACTCGCATTATTATTATTTGCCAGAACATAAAGGGTGATAAAGACTTTAAGCTGAACGTTCTAGACCTGTTGATTATTTTCTATGTTATTTGCCGGAATAGATTTCCTTCTATTCTTCTGCTCTCTTTTTTTTCCCTTAGCAACACCTCCGTGGCTAAAAACAGGACTGATTAATCAGAATGAGTCCCTTTTTCTTTTTTTAAGTTATTGATGGCAACTCTCAGAACATTAAAAATCTGCAGCCAGTTAAAAAATGGAAGCATTGGCTCAAACAAAGGACTGGGGCAGTATTGTTGTTACTTGTTAAAATCCTAGAATGGATTTCTTAGGGGGCACACATCAATAGAAGTCATCATCATAGGCCGGGCGCGGTGGCGCTCGCCTGTAATCCCAGCACTTTGGGAGGCTGAGAAGGGCGGGTCGCGAGGTCAGCAGATCGAGACCATCCTGGCTAACAGGGTGAAACCCCCTCTCTACTAGAAACACAGAAAAATCAGCCGGGCGTGGTGGCAGCGCCTGTAGTCCCAAGTACTCGGGAGGCTGAGGCAGGAGAATGGCTGTGAACCCGGGAGGCGGAGCTTGCAGTGAGCGGAGATGGCGCCACTGCATTCCAGCCTGGGCGACAGAGCGAGACTCTATCTCAAAAATAATAAAATAAAATAAAATAAAATAGTCAAATTTCATGTGACTGGTGATTACTTAGCACATAGTGATCCTTTTGAATCTTCATAAAAAATCATATAAAATAGTCATTAATGTTTCTCAATTTTACAGATGAAGAAAAGGATTCAGAGAGTACCTTTGAGACTTCACACAGGGAAGTGCAACAGTGACTTAGGACAGGGCTCTCAGAGCTTGGATGTGTACAGCCTCTCTCTCACCGAACGTCCCCTCCTTCCCAAACCAGCTCATCCTTGAGTGTATTAGATTTGTCTGAATTTACTCAAAAATCTTAGGGAAATTTAAAAGTTGTATAAGAACAGCATATGAGCCAACACGAGCACTGATATCTCAAAACAGCAATTTTGTCTATTTATTTGGCTTTACTCTTTCATTAACTCATATTTTACCTCATTCCAGAAATGATCTGATATGGCAAGCTGTTGGTATTGTTATCATTTTATTTGTCATTAACTTGTAGGGCCCTGAAGGAGTGCAGAGTTGATGAGAAGCCTGAGGTTCTTTGGGGTGGGAAGTAGTAGCTGGAAGAGAGGCAGAGGAGAAAGGCTCCCTATCCTCGACTCGGTTCACACTCAGCTTGGGGCTAACCATGGTTGTGAACACGGCACACAGACATTCTGAGACGCGAACTGCATCTGGCATGAACTAACTGCGCACATTCTTAGAGAAGAGCCACATAGGTAAGTGAAATCGTCTCATTTGTTCCTCGGCGATAAATTTCAGAGGCTGTATTATTTTTGGCAATGCTGATGGCAGAGAAGCGCCCGCAGTGCCAGATGGGTAGCTACAGAGACCTCGGGGAACCATAAGAAAGCCAAAATTTGAAACAAACAAACAAACAAACAAAAAACCTGCCTCACCTTAGAGTCTGGAATTGACTCTGGAATTGAGCTCTCATAGTGCTTTAGGCATACCCGATATTCAAATAGTCCTGTTTTATAACATATTTGTCACCTAAATTGAATTTCCATTAGTGGAAGGGATTTGCTTTTCACATATTGCCTTTCTTTGATGTAAAATTGTGGAGAACAATAGAAGAAAAAGCATGGGGCTATCGTCAATAAATGTGGATTTGGTTCCAGGATTTTGACCTAAATTTGATCTATATTGACTACGTTCCTTTGGGTAAATTATTTTCACCCTAGGCAGTCTTTCTTATCTGAGAGAATTATTCAAAATTGACACTAGGTGGTGCTCTGCTCCCACTGGCTCTACAAAAAATTTAATTGAGGCATGCCTGAGGTTTCCAGTTTGTTTTACCAATTCTGCTACACGTGTTGGTCAGGAGTATTGCAAAACAAAATAGCAACCAAAACTACAGTATTTCAAACACAATTTTTTCAAGAGACACAAGAAGAATAAAATTATAACAGTTTGCTATTCTGTGGCTACCGGTTTTTCAGGATACCCTATGTTCTTAGGTACCAAAAGAAGGTGTTCTAATATACCTTAAAAATACACTTCTCCCAAAGGAAAAATAAATCATTATGTTAAAAAGATACCTGCACCAGTACGTTTATCATAGCACTATTCATATTAGCAAAAATTAGGAATCAACCTACGTCTATCAGTAGATGACTGGATAAAACAAATGTGGTACAACACAATGGAATACTGCTTAGCCCTAAAAAGAATAAAATCACATCTTTTGCAGCAACATGAATAGAACTGGAGGCCTTCAGAAAGTGTCTGAGTCATTTTACCTAAGTACAACATGTTCTCACTCATAAGTGGGAACTAAATAATGCATACATACAGACATAGAAAGTGGAATCGTAGACATTGGAGACTTGGAAGGGGGTGGGAGTGAGATGAGAAATTACCTGTTGGGTACAATGTACACTATTCAGGTGTTGGCTACACTGAAGGCCCAGACTTCACCACTAGGCAATATATTCATGTAACAAACGATACATACCCCCTCTCTCTCTCTATATATATATATATATACACTTCTTCAGAATATATGGGGAGTAAGGGGAGGAATAGCATTAGGACAAATACCTAATGCATGTGGGGCTTAAAGCCTAGATGATGGGTTGATGGCTGCAGCAAACCACCATGGCACATGTATACCTGTGTAACAAACCTGCACGTTCTGCACATGTATCACAGAACTTAAAGTATAATAAAAAAAAAAGATAAAAATAAATAAATAAATAAAAAGAACATAAAGTCTATCATTTTTTTCTGAGGTGTAACAAAGAGTTCCTTTTTCTGTGTAACAGGGTCATCTGGATCTTTTTTGAAAAAATGTAAAATAGCAACACAGAAACATTTTATTCATTAAAATCAAATTACGAACAATCCTGAGTTCTCTACAAGCTTCAGTTCAAAACAGACCTTTGATGTCTTTCAAGTTTAAAGCACTATTTTCAATTGTGACTTTTAGACTTGGAAGAGCCCTGGCAGTTTGAACTCAAGTAAATGGTATGTGAATGTGTGGCTTTATTCTTGATTTCATTCAAAATACCATCTTATTGCTTAATAGGTCCCCTTCCAATTAGAAGAAAGATTGGTTTCTCCGAAGTGGAGGAATTGGGGTTAACAAGATTATTATTCCTGGACTTCTAAGAGCAGGAAGGAAAATAGGGGGATTGTTTTCCACAAATCCCACTGTGTGTTATGTGGGAAAGTTGAGTGCACAAAGGGGATGCTGGCCAGGTAGTCTTGGCGTGGTCCTATTAGGGTGAGAGATTCTGAGCACAGCTTCTGAAATCTCTGGAGTGCTTTCGCTCTACAAGAAGACGTACATTCAGTGACAGGCCACATGTGGGTAGTTAACAAGGGGAAGGGACAGATAGTAACAACTAACCCTTAGTATGTATTAAAACTGTTCTCAGTGCTTTCAGAGATTATTTAATTCTCACAATAGGCCAACATATGAGAAAATAGGACCAGAGAGGTACTGTCCAAGCTCACATAAGTAAATGGTAAAGCCAAGCTTCAAACAAAAGCAAGTTGGTTCCAGAATCCAGGCTTTTAATCACTAATCTACATCATCTCCCCAAATGAGAGCAAACACACAGCAATACTGTTCTAAGTGCTTTATCCATATTAACTCTTTTAATTTTCACAGCAACCCCATGACACAGGATTTATTCTTGTTCTCCTTTTACAGTTGAGGAAACTGAAGCACAGATTAGTTAAAAGGTTAAGATGATAATTAACATTGAGGGTGTGCTTAAAGACAAGACTGCCTCTTCTTAAAGTCTGTCTGAAGGGCACTCAGCAGGTGCAGAATTGAGCTCTGATCCCCACCACCTTCTTTTTTCCCTGGGGTTCCCCTTACATGGGTAGATCCATGCTGCACAACCTCTGAAGTCTTTGGTCTAAGCATAGGGATAATTTTGGTTCCCGGTGCCTCTTGTCATGGTTGGGATTTTAAAAAAAGACACTAAATATAGAGGAGGAACAGGACACACTTCCTGTGCACTGAGCTCTACACCTTGAACGAGTGCTGTTTTAGCAACAAGGTTCTGAGGCAACTTCACAGGCACCTCCTGCACCAGCCTGCCCTCCATGGGCGCCATCTTCCTAAGTCTTCCCCTTTAACACCATAGTCAAGAAGCGCTTGGGTCTCCTCCTCAGGTGCTTGTCGTCTACTGGTAATTAACGAAATGGATGATTTCACTCTTCTGATGAAAACATCTGTTTCCCTATAGCAATAGATGTTTAGGCGGTTGGCCAGGAGGAGAAATGTGTAGACCCAAAGAGATATCTTGTTAGTTACTTTATCTATTAGCAGAAAATGAGGTCCGGTGACTGGATAATTGTGTCACCAAGAGTGACAGAAAATCCAAAAGAAAAAGAAAGAGTGGTTCTCTTCCATTCACAGGTTCTTTTCAATGCAAGTGTTCCTTTATTTCTTGGAACTTCAGTTTTCTTATATGGAAAGTGAATTTATTGAAAAGTCCTCTAAATTCTAGCTAATTCTTGTAGTCCCTGAATTTTGGACTCATTTTAAGAGAAATTTTGAGACAATAAAATGGATTATCAGTAATAATATTTGTATTTTAACTTGTAACTAAATTAATATTTCTTTTTAAATTTGGTTTCTATTTTTTCTGTGTTTAGTTTTCAAACTAAAGAAAACAGGCTGTATTGTGCATATAGTATCTACAATCGCACATTCAACAACTGAGTTATATCATTCTCAGTATTAATTAAAGAAATGATCAGAATCCCTAAAGAAAGTAATGCTGTGTTCATTTACTCAATTACTTTCATAGTTTTCTATTGAATGCCTTCCTGAAGCTGTCCTCACTCCCCCTCACTGCTTCTCCAAGGTATAGAAATAGGCAGCCCCATACTGCCACATGTCTGACTATGTTACATGTGTGTTATACCATATTATCCTGGATAATGAGTCATCCCATCTGACTGGCTGGGAACCATAAGGTGTTCTCCTTTTCTTAAGATTTTTGCCCTTTGAAATAATCTTTCTGTTTTTCCTCACACCAACGAGTCCCTATTCTTAGATGCTTCTGGAGTTTCCATATCTGAGTTCTTCTGGCAATGATGGCCAGAGAGAAAGGAGAAGAAAGGAACCCACCAGTAGCTGTCTTTCTGCTGCCTGTCTGAGTACAGGTATGTACAACGATGACGGGGGAGACGGTGCATGGAAACACATGGTGAGCATGAGCCATGCCAAGCAAGGGCCTGAGTGAGGGCCACTTACAGGTTGTGGTCACAGAGGGAAGATGGACGTGGGTCCAGAAAAATGGGACAGAGAGATGGGCAGGAAAAGGGAGAGTACTTCACATGAGAAGAAGCTCAGAGACGGCAGAAGTGCACACTGGTATTTCGAGAGAATCAGCCTGGGGTGGTTGGCACTAAGGCGCAGAGAGAAAGTGGTGGGAGACAAGAAAAACAGGGTTGGAAATGAGGCTCAGAGTAGATTCTAGAGATCCAGGAACAGCAGGCTAAGGCACCTGGACTTTATCCTGCAGGCAACAGGGAAGCTTAAAAGGCTTTGTGTGTGTGTTTGTGTGTGTGTGTGTGTGTGTGTGTGTAGTAAACGAATGGGATGGGTGCTATTAAACCTTGGTATTTTTCTTAAGTTATACAAAATAAATTATTTTCTATTTTACTCTTAGCCAATAAACGGGATTGAGTGGCAACTAACAAAAACTAACTTACTCTTGTCAAAAAGATCTCCACATCAGAGAACAAGACCTGGAAGCTGTAAGAAGCCTGGATCCACACAAACGGCTGCTTAGCATTCAAATACTCCCCTCCCAGAACGCTTGATGTGTTTCTTGAATATCTGACTTACTCTGCTGGCCATCTACTGACAAAAGCAATCTCTCCCCAGATGAAAATTTCTCTGGCTCTTTCTCTTTGTTTGTTTTTGGTGTTGTTTAAGAAACAGCATTTCGAATTCCCTCAGCCTTCCAAGAAAGCAGGCAGATGTGTAAATTAGATTCCAAAGCACTAAGGCTTCTACATCTTAATAAGCTGGGACGCAACCATGCCCTGGAAGCAAAAGTGAATAGAATTCCCACATTCACGAAGGGTCTACTGTTGATTTTCTAAAAAGGAACAAAACGGTAACCAGATGGTAGTTGACAGGGCAACTTTAAAGACAAGTATTTGTTTTGATCTCATTCCTAAGGGAAAGAAAGTTAGATAATTAATAGCAGGAAAGAACAGGAGACAAAGGCAAGAGAAGAAGAAATACCAAAGATAATGTATAAAGGGAAATGTGAAGAGAAATAGGTATTGGAAAATAAGGGGAAAATTTAGCCAGTTCTAGAAAAATAGAAAATGGGATGAAATGAAATATAACTGCACATTTTTCATGAAATGGTTGCCTAGGAAACAACTAGGAGTGTTTCTCCCTGTACTGAATAATTGTTGAGAAACACACTGGACTTAGGGTCTCTTGACTTTACTGGTATCAACTGGGAAACTTATGTGTCAGGCATCGTAGTTATGAGCACCATACTTTCTATATCATGCTTCTAACAACAGAAGTAGTCAGTTTCAACAATTTTGGAGGGTAATAGCAGAGGAATTGTAAGATTGAAACCTACAAACACAGGCAGGGTGAGACTTGAAAATCAGATTAGTCTAGGATGACACATTAGTATGTGTAACACTAAGCAACAAACCGTGGAAAAGTCAATTAGAAAAGCAGCTGAAGGCCCATTTGGCAATGTGAGATCATCTTTACAGCTTGCCCGGTATCCCGTTGAAAACCAGTTTTCCATATAAAGAACTTGGTGCACTTAAAGTCATATAATGTGAAGGCAAAATTTCACATTACAAAGCAGTTCTTCATCTTCCGTTAGCGTACAGCCCCTATGGATCTTATTATCACTTTTTTTGCTTTTAATCTAATAAAAACAAACAGCATTAAAAAATGCTTTACTGCTCCCATTTGAGTTTGTCTTTTCTATAGTTTAGTGAATTTTGCAGAAAATGTTTATATACATTGTCTTAAATAAACCCATCTCTATAAAGTTGTCCCTCCTGTATTTACTGGACTGAATTCTCAGCGTGTGGGTGCGTTTGTGTACACATGCGCATACATGTGCACTTAGAGAGTTGTGAGAGGGATAGGGGAAACAGGTGTGGGAGGGACTGTTTTTCATAATGACTCATGCTATCCTTTTCCTAAACAAAAGCAGGAGTTAAGAGTGTGAGAACGTTTGCTGTTGGTTGGAAATAGACCATGGTTATTTCATCTTCTTTTTTCTTCGTATTAACATAGATAAGTTTTCTTTTCTTTTCTTTTGTTTTTTTGAGACGGAGTCTGGCTCTGTCACCCAGGCTGGAGTGCAGTGGCCGGATCTCAGCTCACTGCAAGCTCCGCCTCCCAGGTTCACGCCATTCTCCTGCCTCAGCTGGGCACTACAGGCGCCCGCCATCTCGCCCGGCTAGTTTTTTGTATTTTTAGTAGAGACGGGGTTTCACCGTGTTAGCCAGGATGGTCTCGATCTCCTGACCTCGTGATCCGCCCGTCTCGGCCTCCCAAAGTGCTGGGATTACAGGCTTGAGCCACCGCGCCCGTCCCATAGATAAGTTTTCTATAAATCTGTAAGGTCATACATATCCTATCCTGTGAGACAGAGTGAATCCTAAATTGTAAATATTTTTATTTATGGACAAATTGGAAAGGCGTAACAAATCAAAAAGCAATTGTCTCAGGCTCCTGACAAATGTTTGAATTGTATCCTTGGAATTCATTTTGTCAAACATTTACTCATCCTCGTATTGGTATTACCTTGTCACTTTCATTTATTATAGAAAAAATAAAATCTTAGTTCATGACAAGACCAACAGCAAAGCAAACGTGACATTCAACCCTCGGCCATCTGTCTGGATTTAGGTCAAGATTGTTTCCAAAACTGGAATGGGGCAGAGAAAGCCAACAAAATTATGATGGGTTTTTATTTTTGTTGTATTTATGTATTTTCCTGGTTTAAAAAAAAAATACTGGGGAAAAAACAGTCAAGCATAATACGTACCATATCTCTGCATATTTCACAACATCTAGACATAGTTTACGTATATATATATTTTTTCTTCTAGATCTTATGTTTTAGTGAGGAAGACAGCTATATATCTTAATTCTAAGTAAATCTCACAAATAAGCAAAATTTTAATTCAACAACACTGATTATCATAAAACACATAATTGTGGAAGTTCCAATAAAAATTTGATATTACAATGTTAGTATAGTATATATCTTACCTCCTGCCTCTCAAGCTATACTCAGAGATTAGCAATTAGCTGAGTATATGTCCTTAACTCTCCTCAAATATATGAAAAACCTGGCCCAGAGATTTTTGAAAATTCTGTTCTGAAAAAAAGTCTACACGTTTTTTTCTATTTAAAAATTCCTTATATAAAAATTAAGAAAAAATAGAACGGGGAAAATATTTATAATTACATAGATAATATAAATGAATACAAACAAAACAATAGGAAAAGTATTAGTATTCAGATTTTAAAATAAATAAAAGACAATTCCAGAAAGAAGTTCACGAAGGAGAAAAACATGTGTTTAAAAAAATAATAAAAGTGCAAACAAATACAAGTTGTTTCTGTTTTGTTTTTTAAACTATTGCATTAGTCAAAATGAACCAACAGTGTAGTGGTTAAGAAGATGAACTCGGGAGACAGACAAACCTGACTGGCATTGCTGTTCAACTTTTATAGGTTGTGGGGCCTAGGGCAAGTCTCCATTTTCCTAGTAAAAATTGGAAATAACAATAGCACCTATCTCATAGTGTGATTAATGAAGATTTAAATGAGATGACTGTAATGTGCTTAGCACAGTGCTTACCATATATTAAGAGACTGATTTTAATGAATTATTGTCAATCAAGCAAGTGGAAATGTAAAATGGTACAGATATTTTAATAAGGATCTGGAAAATGTATCGATGAAATATTAAGTTGTCTTTAACATGCTTCATCTAGTTTTTAATAACAGAAAAATGGACCTAGCAATCACAGTTTGGGAAGCACAATGAATTAAATGTTCTTATATTATCCCTTAGCCAAGGCTGTCAACTTTTTATTTATTTTTATTTTTATTTTTATTTTAGACGGAGTCTTGCTCTGTCGCCAGGCCAGAGAGCAGAAACGCAATCTCAGTTCACTGCAACCTCTGCCTCCCAGGTTCGAGCGATTCTCCTGCCTCAGCCTCCCAAGTAGCTAGGACTACAGGTGTGTGCCACCACGCCCAGCTAATTTTTTGTATTTTTAGTACAGACGGGAGTTCCACCATGTTGGCCAGGAGGGTCTCAATCTCTTGACCTCGTGATCTGCCCACCTCAGCCTCCCAAAGTGCTGGGATTACAGGCGTGAGCTGCCCAGTCAGCTAACAATGTTTAAGGTGTTTTGACTCAATACCTTATTCTATAAGAACATGTGTATGTATAAGCAAAACGGCAACAACAAAAAAACACTAAACAATTAAAACTCATCAATGTCTGGCAAAGGAGATGTTTTATCACTGTTGTAAATTCTGTATCTAACTTTAAAAGTTTGAAAATGAGATTCTGTATATGGAAGTTAAGAAATTTATTTCACATATATTCTCTGGAGGTATATTAATTTTTAAACAACTTTTGGTAATGTCCACAGGTCTCCAAAATTTCAAGTTTTATATTTTTAAAAACTCAGTATCTGCAAGTTTATACTTAAATTCAGTAAACTTTTTGATTTGTAAATATACTGACATTTTCTACTAGTCAGATAAGATAACTGAATGATTCATATTGTTCACTTTTCATGTGCTATGATATTAAAGAACTATGAAGTTATCATCAGTTTAGATTACAAGATTCTTGAAAGATTCTTCTAGTTTGTTTAACATGTTTACAACACATCTGTAGCTACTGATAGTTAGGTTACTTAATCTCTAAGAAATACAAAGATATTAGGCATAAAACATATTTTAAACTAAGAAGCATCTTTTCCATTTGATGAATTATGCACAGCAAAACAAACCTGCTAGGTAACAATAAATATTCATATAAGTAATATTTATATTGGTATCATCTATTATTTTTCTATGTATATTATATAGTATCTTGTAGAATATTTTGACAATATATTCTGAATAAAAGCCTTCCAGTAAATAAGATTTACAAAGGCTAAGTTAGATAATAAGTTTTTAATTTTCGATGAGGATAATGGCATTTATTTTTTCGGTTTTTTTTCAACTGACTATCATAGGTCGGGCATGGTGGCTCACGCCTGTAATCCCAGCACTTTGAAAGGCTGAGGTGGACGCATGACCTGAGGTAAGGAGTTCGAGACGAGACTGGCCAAGGTGATGAAACCCTGTCACCACAAAAAATACAAAAAATTAACTAGGCGTGGTGGTGGGTGCTTGTCATCCCAGTTACTTGGGAGGCTGAAGCAGGAGAATTGCTTGAACCCAGGAGGCCAAGGTTGCAATGAGCCGAGATCACGCCATTGCACTACAACGTGGGCACAAGAGTGAAACTCTGTCTCAAAAAAAGATAAATAAATAAAAAATTAAAATAACAAACGGGCTATTATAATATGAAACTTGTCATATATGAAAACTTTTCCTTATGATAGTTCTTAATTTCTATTAAAACAGTGAAAGGATTTAAATCTTGATTTCCAATGTATTGTAAGAAAACACTTTAATTTATTAAATTAGTATGTTTCTGTGGCTCTTTGGCAATGGAATGATTCAACTTTATTGTTGGTATGGTCTCAGGCAAATGATTATAAGGATTTTTAAATTTAATGATTCATTATTCAAAATTTGCTGTTTGTAGCCAAGTAAATTTCAAAACAAAACGTAAAAACAGAGAAATCTTAACTACATTTTACTTTTTTTTTTTTTCTTTTTTGAGACGGAGTCTCGCTCTGTCGCCAGGCTGGAGTGAAGTGGCATGATCTCGGCTCACCGCAACCTCCGCCTCCCATGTTTACGAGATTCTCCTGCCACAGCCTCCTGAGTAGCTGGGACTACAGGTGCATGTCACCACACCCAGCTAAATTCCATATTTTTAGTAGAGACGGGGTTTTGCCATGTTGGCCAGGGTGTTATGGAACTCCTGACCGCAGGTGATCCACCAGCTTTGGCCTCCCAAGATGCTGAGATAACAGTCATGAGCCACCATGCCTGGCCTATTTTACTATTTCTTACATATGTGCTAATGCTGAAGAGACTGCTAAATTAAAATCGTTTTTTTTTTTTCTTAAAAATTTGCTAAGAGGGCAGATTTTATGTTAAGTGCTCTTATCAAACAAAACAATAACAATAAATAAAAGGACGGGAGGAAGCTTTTGGAGGGAATGGATATATTTAAGGTACATATTGTGGTGCTGGTTTCACAGTGTATACTTATCTTCTACTTCCTCCAGTAGTATACATTAAATAGGGACAGCTTTTTATATATAGATCGTACCTCAATAAAGTGGTTTAAAAAAATAAAACAGACTTTCCCAAGTACTGCATTTTTCTATTATTTTTCATAAAGATTGTTAATTGCCTTACTATTGTTGAATCAATTTTTAAAAGCACCCGTCTCTCAAAACAAAATAATTGAAATAGTGCAATTTGTCCGGCAAATCTAAGATTTCAGATTTGCTCCACAGAACCAGTGTGGTGTGAACCAGTAAGGAAGTGCAGGCAGCAGAGATGGAAATACTGCTGATGACTTTATTCTTAGTGTCACGCAATGTCATTCATGTCCTATGTACTTTTACTTTCAACAATTTAATAACAACTTAAAAGTCTATTATGTAGGGACACTAGACCAACACACCTTTGCTTCACTCTATACTATACTATACTATACTATACTATACTATACTATACTATACTACACTACACTATACTATACTACACTATACCTCACTCAATAC